GAAGTACTAAAGGGCCACAGAAATAATGCAGTGAAACATCCCGCTGCCCAAAAGCAGTGTGCCGACGATGGCAGAGTGATTAGGAACAGAAGCTGAGGTGTCACACCTGAGCTTCAAGCCTGGTCTTAGGACTGGCAGTGAGATTCTAGAGACGTGGTTGACCCCTTCTGAGCCTCAGTTTCCTCATCTGTAAAGACACTCATAGCCTTTACCCTGTAGGATTGCTGAGAGAATTAAAAGAGAATCTAGATAAAATGCTTAGACAGTAAGGGAGCACTCAGTAAGCATTAGTTGTTGTTATAATATTATTATTAGACTAGAGGCCCAGTGCACAAAATTCGTGCAAGGGGCTTGGCCCTCACAGCCCCAACTTCGTTTGGAAGGATGTCTGGACAGTCATTTAGCTGTCTGGTCTAATTAGCATATTACGCTTTTATTATTATAGATAAGGGTTTGACTGTTAATACAGGATGGTATATCTAAATAGCAAAATACTGTGCCACCTTTAAATATATGGTAGTAAAAGAATATTTTCTTACATGAGAAAGTGGCTACAATACACTGACAAGTGTGGGTGACAGAAATGCATGCTACAAGCAATGTTTATTAAGATTTTCTGTGTATGACTTGAGAGTAAGAACAAATAAGCACAAATGCAAAATTTGGAAAAACACACGCAGCTTTTGCCTGTATGCTTCTTCCATGTGTACTAAGAGGAAATAAGTTATCCTATATAATAAAAGGCTAATATGCAAATGGTTGTGACACCCTCAAGCCATAATAACCAATCAGCAAGCGCAGGTGGGCAGGGCTGGGGAACCTGAGGCTGCATTCCCCACCCGGCACCAGTCAGGGATGTGACATTATTATTGTTTATTTATTAATAAATGTATATGTTATTTTCATATATATTTTACTAATTTTCTTTCATCTCTGACACTTCTATTATTGAGAAAGGGCAAATAGCAATATTAAAATATTTCCTCTAATTAATTCCCTTTTAATGTGCATGAATTTCATGCACCAGGCCACAAGTTTAATAATAAAAGAACACTGTCTTCACTTTGGGTGAGGCTTTCCATTTCCCAAAGCTTTTTCATGTGGCCTCATTTTTACACTAATTTAACTTTTAATGGCTACTATTAAACTGCAATTCTGACAAATGCCTGGAAGTCAAAACCCTGAAATCCATCTCCCTACCCCCAGAAGGACAGTCTTTCCTCTGAAAGACCACCGATCACTAACACTATTGCTAACAATCAGGTTTTCCCCTGTCTGATGGAGCAGAGCCACATAAATCCACTTTTACAGCCAGCGCTTTTACAAGCAGTTTCAAGAAGTGGTGTTTAAGTTAACGATGCAATGTGGTAAAGTAATATAAACCATTAGCTAAATCAGGGGTCTGAGCCACACATCCCAGGGCCTGTCTAGCCTTGTTTGGCTGAACGATGCTAAGAACCTGAGATAACGGTTCTTCCCAATGTATGTCCCGCACTGAGATTCCACGGTAAGACTGCCAGCTGCTTCCCCACTAGCCATGCCCTCCCTCTCCCTTGGTGATACACCCTGATTATTAGCTGCGCCCACTGCACCCAGAACAAAATCCTCCGTCTCCCAGCCTCTCCTGTACTGGCCATGGCTATGTGATTTCATTCTGACCAGTAAATGCAAACAGATGTGCTGTGCTGGACTTCTGGGAGGTTCATGGGAGACAACTTCTGTGCTTCTGCTTCCTCCTCCTCCAGGCTTGTGACTTAGACCAAAGAATAGCATCTTGAACTGTATCCCTGAGGATACTAGCCATGTGCTGGGACAATGGAGGGAAAAATAGGAGCCTGGGTCCCTGAGGACACTGTGCAGATGCTCTAAAACTCCCCGGACTTCCTTTCAAAGGCAAATGAAGGCATACCTTCATGGTTTATATTATTATACTATACCACTGTTACCTTGTTTTGTTCTTTTTAGGTTATATACAGTCAAACCTAAGCTTACTAGAGATTATATTGTATAGCATCATAGTATGCTATATGCTATTCACATTTCACTGCCACTAAACAGCTTATACTTTTTAAAGTAGGTGATCAGGATGATATGACATTTTAATAAATCACTTTTTTTGCCCAGCTGGTGTGGTTCAGTGGTTGAGAGTTGACCCATGAGCCAGGAGGACAGTTTGATTCCCAGTTGCAGGCTTGATCTCCAGTTGGGAGCATGCAGGGAGCAGCCCCTCGATCATTCTTTCTGACCATTGATGTTTCTATCTCTTTCTCCCTTTCCCTTCCTCTCTCTGAAATCAATAAAAATATATTTTTAAAAATCACTTTTTTGCTGAACCTTTTGTAATAGATATTTATTATCAACTACTCTTTTTTTCCCCCCCCAACAAGGACCTTCCCAACATATACATATTCTTTTCTCTAGAAGTTCAAAGTCAGCTAACACATGTAAGTTGCAGAATTCTGCCCTCACATGAGAATCACCCAAATCCAACTCTCTGAAACCCCTAATGAAAACCGAGGGAGATAGGCCAGTATCCCCAGGTCTGCAAAGCACAAAGAAGTTGGGACTCTCCAACCTGAGGCAAAGAAGTGGCATATCATTTTAAAAATGATTTCCAAGTCATAGACCCACAGCAATGAAATAAGACCTGTGTCATAAAGGCTCCTGTTGGATATGCTGTATATGATCCCAGGCAAACAGCCAAGGAGGTAAATGCCGGGTAAATCTGTGAGATTTACGGGGGCATCAACATCAACACCAGCCATGCAGAACAATGAACCTTACACACGTCTAGACATCAGTTATCTCCTGCCATAATACACTGTACTGAAGGCACCCCTTGACAATCCTAAAATTCACTTAAGGACAAAGAAAGGAACCAGGGCTTTGTCTCCTGAATGACAGAAAAACATTCAGGTCTCTTGCCATCCCCTGCAAAGAGTAGAGCCTTGACAATTTAGCTTTTCCTTCACAAGAGCCTAGACTTACAAACACAAATCTCATAAGGTAAAGCCTTGTATTTACAGCTTGAAATTATACCCAGATTTAAAACTTCATATAAGAAATTGTTAACTTTCACAATTCCATCATCCTAGTCCAAATTTTTTAATGGGCTTAATTATATAAGGTTAAAGCACTTTGCTTAGTTCTCCCAGCATGATAAGGATATAAGAAAAAGTAAAATAAAGAAAATTCAGCTTCTTTATCATTTGTTTGTACCAACACATCTGCTTAGTCTTACCCCATCATCCAAAGCAATCTGTAGGTAGAAATCACTTTGAAAATGGGTCACCAAAAGTTTTAATTTCTTTAATACATTTAAAGAACAGAATTTTGGAAGCCCGAATGAGAATAATCATATGTTAAAGAGATAGAATAATGGCAGAAGGAAAAGAGAAATCAGGTTTTATTTTATGGATCTTAAATCCTTCACAATCATTATATCTAAAATATATACACAATGTCCCATACTCTCAGAGGAATAAATTTTCTATTATAAAGGGGAAGAAGGTGCAGGTGGGAGAGGTAAGGGTAACAAAGGCTACTCACCAGGGGGGTGAAAGAGGTCAATTGGGAAAAAAGGAGACACGTAGTACTTTAAACAATAAAAATAAAAAATAAAAATAGCCGGTTTGGCTCAGTGGATAGAGTGTCAGCCTGTGGACTGAAGGGTCCCAGGTTCGATTCCTGTCAAGAGCACATGCCCAGATTACAGGCTCAATCCCCAGTAGGGGATGTGCAGGAGGCAGCCAAGCAATGAGTCTTTCTCTTCACTGATGTTTCTATCTCTCTCTTCCTCTCCCTTTCTCTCAGAAAACAATAAAAATATAGTTAAGTAAATTAATAAATAAACAAAGGCTACTTAACATAAATTGGAAAGTATATAAACCATATATGCTCTAGAAATGTCTGCAAGAAATGCCAGATACAATAGTTATATTCCCTGAAAGAAAACATTATGGGTTTCTTTCAGTGCAAAGGCCAACACATTATCCACCAAGTCAAACGGGCCCGGGCTAACATGCATTACCTTGAACAGATTCACAAAAACATCAACAGAAAAGCAAGCTACCTCTGGAACAGCCCGGAACAAAACAAAGCCTGAAGGCTTTCTGGCCTCAAAGCTGAAGACTACAGAGAGCGTGAAGTTCCTGGGCCCACCTCACCCCCAAAATCCCAACACCCTCCTCTCTGGACAGGGTGCTCACAGTGACCATTGAGCTCACTGGATCCTCTTTGCCACATAGTTTAGGCAACAGAGAACACATGTGACCACACAAAAGAAGCATATTCCCGGGACCTGTGGATTCAGCCAAGGAAAAAGACTCAAGTGTCTACCGACTCACCATTTAATTACGTCTAACACTTGCTTTACGATCCAGTTTATGGATTCTGGATGGTTAATAAAGTTGCTTCTCAGTTCCCTGCTATTACACACTGGGAAGTTATGACAATTAGTTAACACTACCCGTAGGCTATCAGGAGGTCTGTAAGCCTTCCAGCCAGGTCCTGCTCTCCAAGTTGACACTGTCACCTGACTAGGCCTCACAGCTTAAACCACGTGCCTCCCCTTCTCTGGTGGGTGCCTCAAGCTGGCTGTTTAGAGAAATGCAAACAGGTGGTATAGGTTTGCTTTACCTGATATTCCACGAAAGAGAAAAAGCCCTTTTGTGATTGCAGACATACTTCCCTCAAGTTGAAAAGTAAATCTATGTCATCGTCATTTTTTTTGCACAGGACATCAGAATTATACATTGCCACACTTACCTGCTAATGGGAGCTCAGAACTGTCCCAACCCCTCTGGCGCCTTATTCTTCTCATTCCAAACCAATTTTCCTGGCACTCATTGCAGCCCTACATCTCAGCTCCAGATAGAATGGTTTTAAGCAAGCAGTTTTCACTGCCCACTAAGGCTCCTTTTGGCATCCATGCCAACTGATGCCCTGGACGGAGTCTGAATGTGCTCTCAAGCCCTCCAGCCCCATCCCTTCATACTCACTGTTGCTGGACTTAAGGTCACGGTGGATGATGGGGACAATCGCCTCATCATGTAAGTAGTTCATCCCTCTGGCAATCTGCACGGCCCAGTTAACCAGGATGTCTGGGGGGATCCTTTTCCCAGATAGCACTCTGTTCAAAGGTCCTCCACGAGCGAACTCCATGACCAAGCAGAGGTTGGGTTCCTTCAGACACACGCCCCTGAGAGCAATGATGTTGGGGTGCTTCAGCATGGCGAAGAGCTTGGCCTCCTGGCGAACATTCTCTATGGTCTGGCTGATGTCCTCGTCGGGGTCGTGGCGAGCTGCTTTCACGGCGACCTCATCCCCTATCCAGAAAGCACGATAGACCTTCCCAAAGCCCCCGATGCCAATAATCTCTTCCAGGGTGAGCTCCGCAAAATCAATCTCTAACACTGCGAAAGAGGAGGGAAAGAGAAGCAAGTCAAAAACGTTCCGAAAACACCATTTAGTCACCCATTTACCGGGATGAGTAAACGCAGCAAGTTGTCTGTTCACGTGGTTTTTTTTGTCTTCCTAATATAAAGGCAACTCTATAAGGGCAGGAAGTGGGATTAACTTACTCTCTGCGGCCTTATGCTGTGTAACTGGCACACAAATCTTGGGCTGGACATGGTACTGCTGTAAGAGGAAAGTGCTATTCTATGCTTTTTTTTTTTTTTTTTTTTTTTCATGAAAACCCTGTTCTACCTTCTCAGTCTCATCATCTTTCCCTGGCTTACTCATACTAATCTCTCAGCTTAGTAGTTTGGCTAAGAAAAAAAACACCCAAAACACACACACACACACACACACACACACACACACACACACAATAAAAACAAACAAAACTTTGCTAAAAAACTAAGAAAACAAAAATGTATTTTTAAACTTTTGGCAAGACCAAAAGAGGAACTGCCCACTGACTGCTTCCTTCCACAGCCAACCCCAGGATGCTGCCATTCTCCACTCAGATCCTGGTGGTGCTCCAAACTGTTCTTGCTTAACTATAGTGTTTCTATTCCATCGGGGGCTGATATTCACTTGTATTTTGTAATGCAAGTGGCAGTCTGCACAAAGGAAACTCTTGGGAAAAGTTTGTTGCTTTTCGGTATACAAAAAGTATGGCCCCATCTTGACTCCAAATGTGCCAAATGTTCAGGCTTACCCCCTCATTGGGCACTCTCCCCAAAGAATATAAGATGCGGCAGGTCCTGCAGACTAGCCATCAGCATCCATTCTAAAATCCTCCAGCATGCCTTTCAGTTCTACAGAGGCCAGAAAGCTGAAAACTACATTTCCCAGACTCCCTGAAACTAGAGTTCTGGATTATATTAGGTTCTGCGTTAGATGCAGAAGATTTGGGAGGCAGAAATGAAATGGAGACCATCTTCTTGCTGCATCTCCTGGCAAGCAAGGCTGTGGCAGAGGTGGCGTTTTTCTGCAACAGCGATTCAGTGTCCAATCATTCGCTGTGTGGATGAGGAGAGGCATGTTGCAAGGCTAAGTGCTTGCCTAATCTTGGACTGCAACAACAATCTGGCCTTCTTGAACTCCACAGCTTCAGTGACAATGGATTTTGTGCCTTCCCAATTCTGAGAGAAGTAGCAGCCTACCTGGTGGGCCAGGTCTGCAAAGTTTTGGATTTTTCCTACAGGTCCACCTGAGCTGAGCGTTCCTTCTCCCTACCCTCCCGATCATTCTGTAAGCACCGAATTTCCTGTGCGAGAGCACTTTCTACTTAAAATAGTTTGTTTCTGGGTCCTAAAATGAAAACTGACATTACTAATTTTTGCCTTATCTCATCTATATGAATAGAGGGGGGAAATATGCCTATGTTAAAGTGAGATTAGAAACCCTTTTGGAGAAACATTTAAGTTATGTTAGGAGTCTCCTGGATCATGGAGGGAAGGAAAGTTCATTGTTTTCTACCAGTTTTTATGCTGATGAAAAGATACGTGCCTATTTTAACAAATTTGTATTTACTCATCTTATTTCTTTAGCTGAATATCCGAATCCCCCTTAAGGGAATGGATGGTTGTATTTCCTCTTCTACCCTGCCTTCTTCCCTGGAACTGAGGCATAGTTGTGAACACACAGGAGGTGTTAAATATTTATTTAAATGTACGAGGATTTTAAATATGTGATGCTGAACTAGGGTGCTGAAAGGACAGCTCCACGGGTGGCGTTTTGCAGAAGACAGAAAACCTCTGGAGAAGGCTAAGCAAGAAATATTCTTGCTCTGGGTAGAACATAACTCTTAGGTTCTTGCTATTTAGTTAAGAAAATATTATAATCAAACTTAAAGAAGAATACAGAACATAGCTTAAAAGCAAATAGAAGGGGGACAGAGGGGTGAAGGCAAGGGAGAAAGGTACTTCTTTCTTTTCCCTTCCCTTGGGAGTAAGAAGTTCCTTGGAGTAAGAACTAGACCTTCAGTTGCGCTGAGAGAATGTGGGGCTCTCTTTTCATTCCCTGTTTCAGTCAAGGTCTGGTTTTAAGTAAGAATCAGGTCAAGTCGCATCCATCACAGTTTCCTGTTTCTTTGGAAGGACATATCCAGGAATATCAGGAACAAAACCTTATTTCTTTCATTTTCGGAGTCAAGATGTTATTCACTCTCATTGTATCCTTGAAAATGAAATGTATAGGCACATTCTGGTGGGTTAAGGCAAGTGAATTGTATGTATCTCACTCATTTAAAAATCTTAAGGACATATGAAAATGCATCCTTATAAGAAAAAAATAAAGTAAATTAGTCAGAACCTTAATTTATGCCCTGCTTGAAAATAGATAAAACCTCCTGTAGGAGAAACGTTTTTAAATGCCTACATATCTTCCAAGATAAAACATTAGGAACTACATTTTCCATCTTTTAGTAGAAAGATGAAAGACCTCTTGTTGGTTTTTATTTGACAGCTCCATGAAGAGTTATACTCTAATATCCACATTGGAGGGGATAGGAGCACTACCGTGTTTCCCCGAAAATAAGACATCCTCTGAAAATAAGACCTACTTACAGGTTTCCTTCTGAGTGAAATATAAGGCATCCCCCGAAAATAAGACCCCCCTAGGCTAAACATGAGAGATTTGGTCCACTGATTCTGAAAGAAATGGAGTCACAAGAAATTCACCAGGAAATTCAGAAATTGGATTGTTATGATGATGTTCCAGAAGATGATGACATGATTGTCATTGAATAAATGAGTAAATTCTTGATACTGTAGGATTCACAGTTTGTCTGGTTTGTGTGCACAACTACCGTACTACCGTACCGTATACAGGTAATAATGTTCCTTTATTTTCATTTAACAATAAATGTGTACCATATTCTTCTTCATGGAAAAATAAGACATTCCCTGAAAATAAGACCTAGAGCATCTTTGAGAGCAAAAATTAATATAAGTCACTGTCTTATTTTCAGAGAAACAGGGTATTTTACATTTTTCTTTGTCATAAGATTTAGTAATTTCCACCTCTTTTGTTTTGAGTAAAGTTTGAAACAGAATTTTCCCTCTGAAGCAATATTTAAAACTAAAACAGATTATCATTACTGCCTTCTATTTGCAGTCTAGCATCACAATCCATGCCCCAGATGGGAAGTTCAAAAGGGTAACAGGGAAAAGTTGTCAGTGGCTCAACTTCATTCCAAATCTTTGAAGAAAGGTTGTCAACCACCTTTTGTTTCTGAGTGACATTACCTGAACTGGTGGACATTAGCCTACAGGTAGGAAGCACACCTGTCAGCAACATACCTGGTTCAACTTTACCAAAGCACTGTAGTGAAATTATTTACATCACCAATCTCCCTCATGTGTGATTTGCAAGCACCTCTTTATCATTTCTTTATCCCTGGATATTTAACACAGTAGCCATTCTCCACGAGGCCCTGTAATTGCTTTTCGACTGGAATTATATTTTCTGAATTATCAAGAATTAATTCCAGGCAAGATCAGAACTCCTAATGACACTAAATGAAATAACTCAGCAGAACCTTCAAATATCATATTCTTCAAGTCAATTCTTTCAATAAGCACATGATATTGCCTACTCTCTCACCATCTGAGTTCTAGATATAAGAATCTAGTCTATCAAGAAAACTTTTATTACAATATGATTAAGTCCTGGACCCTAACCGGTTTGGCTCAGTGGATAGAGCGTTGGCCTGCGGACTGAAATGTCCTAGGTTCAATTCCAGTCAAGGGCATGTACCTTGGTTGCGGGCACATCCCCAATAGGGAGTGTGCAGGAGGCAGCTGATCTATGTTTCTCTCTCATTGATATTTCTAACTCTCTATCCCGCTCCCTTTCCTCTCTGTAAAAAAAAATCAATAAAATATATTTTTTAAAAAGATTAAGTCCTGGGCACCTAATGAAGAAGTGTCTACAGTAGCACATGGGACATGTCTGGCTTTCTGGGGAGGGTGCTTCCAGCCTAAGTTTCATTCCCTCCTGACTGCTCTGACAACGGGGAGCACAAGACAGTCAAGAAACTGTGTTCCAGCTCATGAGCCTCACACAACCCTCTGCTCTGACATTAGCTGTTGCTGAAAAAACAAAAATCAAACTTTACCCATAAAGAACCTCAAAATCTGACTTATGTTTAAAACGACACTGTTTTCTAACACACCAGACCATTCTTCCAAATTTCTCCCACTGTCTGACCAAGTTCATCTTCAACACTATTTCAGACACTAGCCTTCATCTTCCCAATACTAGTGCCAAAAAGAAATAATGCCTAGAAACAACATAAAGTAATTTGTTGCCTCCAAGTACTATCAGATGCAGAAACATAAAAGTTTTTCATTGACTGAGAGGGAGAGGGAAACAAAGGTAACTAAAGATTTGAATGTCAATTGATAGTCAAATCACCAATACAAAAAAAAAAAGTAAAAAAACAAACAAAAAAAAACAAGGCGAGAGATTATGATTTTGATATTAAGTGGTGGTATTTAATAAATATCTTAAGATAATAACACAGTTGTCCAAGCAAAAATAAGTTACAAGGCCAGAAGATAACTGTCACAAATGAAATTTTAAAACTAAATGTTTCAAGTTGGATGGTGATGATTTTTTTAAAATCAGTGCTAAGATGCAGAGTGTACAAAATATGGAATGAGGAATGCTAAATATGTATTAACAATATTTTTCTTAACGTGAAAGAAATTTTGGAATCCCTCAAATGCAAATATAGTGTAAGCGGTTCCTGGAGATAGCTACATCTCTCTACTAAAACCACCTAGCATCATTGATTGAGGGATTCTAATGGCAGCTTAAATCCTTTGAAAAAACAAAGGAAATTTCATTACAGGGTGTGGAACTGGGGACTCCTGGGAAACTGGAAGAAAAAAAAAAAAAAACAACAAAAAAAAAACAGGACTCTGGGAGGACCGATGGGCATGGTCCCCCTGAGATTTAGCAAATACCAACTATAGGCAAGGATGTAGGAGGAGAATAAAGAAGAAAATGTATTGTCTTAGCATCCTAGGTGTCGAGGGACTGGGATTTAGCCACTGTACCCTGCCCTCCTGATCTCTCACGGGAGAATGACTTACTTTCGCCTCTCTAATCATTTTTCCGCCCATGACCTGCCCCTCCACACAACACACCCCCTTCTCAGCACATTAGTATTCGGTGAGACTCCTGAAGGTACAACTTCTGAGCTATCAGATTAGCATCCAAGAAATCAACACGACATTTCAAAGACACTTCAGCCCTGAGTTCACGCAGGCTTCCGGGACTGGCGAGCCAGCCCAGCCCAGCCCAGCCCTGCGGGAGACAACCCCCAACTCCTTCAAAGCAAATGCCTTCAAGGGGTGGGGACAGAGGAGACCCGGAGCCGGGAAGTCCTAGGCTTGGGGGCTAAGGTTACGACAGAAACCACCAGCTAGCTTGCCTCAAATCCTTGCAGATATATTTTTTGAGGGGAGAGGTGAATGGAAGGGAGGGGGATTTGGGGAGGGGGGGCAGGAAGGGAGTGGGAAACGGGGAGATTCTCGTGCTGAGGCTTCAGGAAGTACAATCAGGGGGTTGCTGCCGAGGTGGTCAGATAAAGGTTGAGAAGCCCAAAGCGCCTGAGGTTGCAGGCGAGGCCTGCGGCGTCTCCATGGCACACACAGCACCCACCAAAGCCCTGCGGCCCGAGGGTGCGCGCTCACACCCAGCCCCAGGACACCCATCCCTCCATACTCAGCCTGACCCTCGAGGAGGGTCCCGTCTCTCTGCGATCACCCCCAAACCCCCAGACCTCCAGGCTCCAACGTTCCAACCCCCTCTTCCTCCCCCCCGGCCCTCCCCGCCCGGGTCCCAGCCCCGCCTTCGCCTTACACTGGATGGGCGGGTAGCAACTGGGGTCCTCGCCGCCGGGCTGGCGGCGGCTGGAGAAGGCGCTGCGTGGGGTCACGTAGTTGCTGGGAAAGATGCCCACCCGCTGGTTCAGCTGCCCGGTCCACCAGCCCTCGTCGCCGGACACCTGCGAGTCCTTGGACAGCACCTCCACCACGTCGCCCAGCCGCAGGGTCAGCTCGTCCTCGCCCGCCGCCTCGTACTCGAACACGGCGGTCCAGTAGGGCAGCGGCGCGTCGGAGCCCAGCTCCCCGGGGGCCGCCGCCGCCTCCTCCTCCTCTTCCTCCTCCTCCTCGGCCGCGGCCCCCGCTCCATCCTCCCCCGGCGGGGCGGCCGCGGCGGCGCTCGCCAGGCAGCCGAGAAGCGCTCTGGAGGGCTCCATGGAGCGGCCGATCCATAGGGTGCGGGGCCGCCGCCGCCCGCAGGAGCCGCCGCCGCCTATTGTTCATGCGGCTCCGCAGAGCTGGGGGGACCCCCCCCCCTTCCTCCCCGGACAGCGGCCGCAGGTAGGGCCCGGGCTGGCGGGGCGGAGAGAAGCGGCTGCCTGAGTGCGGCGGGCGCGCGCGGCGAGTGCCAGGAGCTCGGGTGCTCACCGCAGCACCGGGGCGCGGCGGGCAGGGCCCCCGCCTGTGCGCTCGCCCCCTGGGGGCGGCCCGGCCACTCCGCCGCGCTACCTGCTCGCCCCGCCGGTGCCCGCCCGCCCGCGGCCGCTCCCCTCCGGGCTCCGCGCCCCGCCCCGGCCCCGCCAGCCCGCCCGGGACCACCTGACGCGGCCTGGCTCCGCCCCAGCCCTGCGGACCCGAGGGGCGGGGCTCCCGGCGCCCGGCCCGCCCCTGCGCCAACCCGCCTTCCTATTGGGTGCTGCCGACCGGCCCGCTGGTTCTCCCCCCCCAACCCCCCACCCCCGCCGCGGTGCGAGCACCCCGCCCAGGACCCGGCCCGCCTCTCTCCACCCCCCCCTCCCCCGCGCCCTGGTCCATGGCCCCCTCGTTCCCGCCCTCTTCAGCGGGCTCCCACCTTCTCAAACCCCAGGGCGCGCGTTCTCTCTCCCATTGGCCCGCCGCCGCTCCAGCCATTGGCCCGGGGTACCTGTCCATTTCCTGGGAGCGTTCGGCACCTCCGGGCTGGAGGAGGCCGCGGCCTCATTGGGTAGGTGAGGAAGGATGGGGTGGGTCCAGAAAGGTGAAGCCCAGACTTCATTCACACCGTAAGCCTGGAGGAGGCCCTTCTCTTTGTTTGCGGTGCGTGAATAGGGGTTCTGTTGGGCGGTACCGGTGTTTTTTATCCTACAGTGAGCATTTGAAAATGAACAGAGGAGAAGGGAGCTGGGGTTGCGCCCCCTCCCCAACCCCCTACCCCGAGAGCGTTTTTCTCTCCATCTACCTCTTGCATTTGGATTCTCCCCTCTTGGATTGGCCTCTGCCATGGTCCAACCAGTTGGATTGGTTATACACACACACACACACACACACACACACACACACCACCTCCGTAACCTTTCATTACAATGTAAAGGCCTGCAGGTCCATTGAAATGTTCTTTAGAAAAAACTCTTACAATGACAGTTCCCGCCTTTACGAAGAGTGCACACAGCCTTCCATTTCCTGGGTTCCTGTGAGAAAAGATTCCAATACAGTGTTTTTTTTAGAATTCAGAAAGAGAGACCACTTTACAGGGGCTTCACACTGAGGCTGGAAAACTATGGCGAAGTTGGCTTGGTCTCTAAAGAGACAGCTTTTTTCGCAGTCATGCATTTCTTTCACCTGGATGAACTGCACCTCTGGTCACGATAACATATATAAAAATTAGGTTAAGAACCGAAGTAGAGCCCAGCAGACATGGCTCAGTGGTTGAGCGTTGACCTATGAACCAGGGGACATGGTTGGATTCCTGATCAGGGAACATGCTCAGGTTTTGGGCTGGATCCCCAGTGTGGGGCATGCAGGAGGCAGCTGATCTGTCATCATTGATTTTCTATCTATCTCCCTTCTTCTCTGAAAGAAGGAGGAGGAGGAAGAGATACACACACACACACACACACACACATACACACACACACACACGACAATGCTGCAGTTCATGATCAAGGGCTGGCCATTTTCTACATCCTTTTGTTATCCTCCGTTTCTCAAACATTAAGAAAGAGATAGGTGGCTCCTACTATTTCCTCTGTGCTTTAATCCTATCGGAGCAATGAAATTTTCCAATGAGGTTTTCTGGTGTTTCAAAATAACTGAATGCTGAAAGATCTAGCCCAGTCTCTACCAAAGTGCCTTACCTTTTCCCCTTCAGGGGTAAGAATAGATACGATTTATTTAGCAAGAGTTAGTGCTTCACTGATATATCTTGTTTAATTTTAATTGTTGGACACACTGGAGACAGTGGGGTAACTGGGAAAGATAAGCAGAGCTGGCATCTTTGCTCCTTCACCAGCAGCTGCATGATCGTGGGGAAGTACTTAGCATTGCAGGGCAGTGTGTTCACCCACAAAGTGAGGGGGTGGGCTGGAAGATGTCCCGTGGTCTTGTAGGCCCAGTGCTCTGTGGTTTGTACACCAGCATGGCTGCACGGTAAACCCACACATCTGAGGTCTTGAAGAAGAGAGATTTGAGTGCTGTCCTGAAGAGCTTCCAGAGGAGTTCTTGAGAAAGGACTTCTGAGTAGATTAAGGTGACCAGATGTCCCAGTTTTGGCGGGACAGTCCCAATTTTTAATCATTTGTCCTGCATCCTGCGGTGTTTTTAAAAAAAAGTCCCGATTTTTGGAAAGAATGCATGACAATGCATAGGGAACGGCAGAAGAACAGGAAGGGAATATATGGTTTTCGGTGGCCATGTGGCTATTTAGCCAGGATCTGAGTTTTATATTATTTTTGTTAATTTTATAATGTTAAATTTTAATAATAACAAATAATTGTTGAGAACTGATTATCAAGAACTGCTTATCAAAGTTCGCAACGACGAAAACATTTTGTAACTGTCTCTCAGACGATACACATCCTACTGCGTCTAGTAAGCTAAACAAGTGATGTCATTACAAATCAGCTGTTCAGATAATTTAGGTAAGTTATTTATTTATTTCATAAATACATAAATTTTCTTGAATTTAGCACACAGTACTCCTATTATTTATATTTTATAGTGGCGGCAAAAGTCTAGCACCGGCCTTGAAAGTGACACGACTTACGTTACAATTAAATGTTGAGACTTTGAAAGCCATTTTATGTGTGAAATATAATTTAACAAATTCTTGTGAAAAATTTCATGACCTTTTAAACAACGACAGCAATCTACTAAAAAAAAAATTCACTCAAATGAAAAATATGCCAAAGAATAAAATAATACTATACATAATTTTTTAATTTATTCTATTTGTAAATTGTACTTATGTTGAAATTTTTAAAAATATATTACAATACTATTTTTGCGTTCTATGAAAATTTTTGTTGCTCCATATAGACCAAATTTTTAATCAAGAACCACCACCACCCCTAACCGCCACCCCCTACCGCCCCTGTCAATGGTGTTCCGCTTTACCAATGTTAAAATCTGGTCAACTTAGAGTAGATGTCCTAAAACAATGTTCAGATTCTACTAGTACATTGGATCTGTGAACTGGAAAATATATGGAGGAGTCTTTTAGTCAATTCTCTAGGTGTTTTATTTTTTTAAATATATTTTATTGATTTTTTTTTTTTAGAGAGAGAGAGGGATAGACAGTTAGAAACATTGATGAGAGAGAATCATCTATCAGAATCATCCCCTATTGGGGATGTGCCCACAACCAAAGTACATACCCTTGACCGGAATCAAACCTGGGACCCTTCAGTCAGCAGGCCGATGCTATATCTACTGAGCCAGACCTGTTAGGGAAAATTCTCTAGGTTTTGTTTAAGACAAACTATCCCATCCCCAAGCAAAAGAGAGCAGGATAATGGGGATAGAGAGGTCCTTTGTGTTTTTAAAAGACTATAAGGGGGAAAAAAGGTTTTATTGAGAAAAATTTATTTTGGAGGAAAATGGCATAGATATACAGAGAGACACAGAAAAAGAAAACCACCAGAAAGATACAGAGAAAACTGTCCATGGTGGATCACTTTCAAGTAGCAGGATTATGAATCATTGGACAAATTTTGTCATTTTGCTTCTCAGTAATTTTTTTGTATGTGCTATATATCACTTTGCGGCTCTTCATTTCTCCCTGACCCAGTGGAGAAGGGGAAAATATTTCAGATCCCTCTAACTCCCGATATAATTTAAATATGTAATACCATAGCATGTGTTTAGCACCTCATGAAGAGTCATTCATCAAACATTCCAAGAAGTCATTCAGTAAATATTTGCTGGATGGGTAATAGGAATTCAAAGGAGGGAAGATTCTTCCTGTAACTTTGCCTAGCAGGGTTTCATGGAAGAAGCAGAACCAAAGCTGGTCCTGGATGGGTATGGGGTGGAGCCAGGAAGAACCTGTGTTCCAAAAAGGAAGGAGGATATGAGCACAGCCACAGAGATGGGAAAGCTTAAGTAAACCCATCAGGATGGAATAAGAGGATGAGAAAGAATTCTGAAAAACAGGTTGAGACCAGATTGTATAGGGCCATGTAATCACTTGATTCACACTAATAATTAATTATTTGTAATGATTTAATGTCCAGTTTGTTTACCATACAGGCAGGGACCTGGTTCCTTACAGTTCTCCCAGCACCTAGAGAATGCATAAATCACTCTAGGTATGTATTCGTGACTGAATGGCTGGTGTGAGTACCCAGGTAAGAAGCATGGGGTTTGTTTAGCTGATAAAAGGTTATCAATGAAGGCTTTTGAGCAGGACTCTGAGGGGATGGCTGTCACTGTGGACTGGAATAGATGAGAAATGCTTAAGGAGGTGCTTAAGTTGGGCTTTGAAGGATGTGTACAACTTGATTAGTAGAGAACAGAAAGGTGGGGCTGGAAATTAATGTAACGGGTAGCAATAATAGGAATACCAGCCTGAGAAGAGGAAAGAGTACAAAATGGGAGTGATGGGAAATAAAACGGACTAAATAAAAGAGGGGCAGGTTGCAAAGACTTTAAAAGCCAGGTGGAATTACCAAGATTTCACTACTATTAAGTTCTTGGGCGGGGGCTGTCACCCCCCAAAAAGGACCATTCTCTCTACCTCAAAAAGTATAGCATAAGGCAGAGAGAGTATAATAGCAGTTTGGCACTACTAGGCTCACTTCAGAAGATCATGATTTCTTGTGGGTCTGTCCATTAAAAACCACGTGGCGAAACAAAGAGCACACATGGGGGTGATTGAGGAGAAACCAAGATGGCAGCATAAATAAACACCTACCTGCAGCCTCACACAACAATTTTTTAAAAATACAACTAAAATACAAAA